GAGGGTGCTGTGTTGTCTGGACTTATAAGAGCAGATGAAAGCATGACTTCCTTCTTTGATGCCCTCAGATGTGAGAGATCATGACAGAGCTGGAACATGCAGTGCTGTGGACGATGTGCTTGTCTGCTTTTGCTAAAGTTTAACACAATAGAAAAGAAGAAAAAAAACACCCACTGCTAGGCTTTTCAGAATGATTTCACGCAGGGCAAAAATGCCTTCTGTGAACCTCTGTAAACCTAACAGGGCCATGGTGAGCTGAACCAGGGGATAAACACAAAGCTAATCTATCTCATATTAAAAGAAGAACCTCCAGACTGAGCGTGACCCCAAAACCTGGAGGGATGAGGTGCTTCTATGTATTTTTATGGTCCTGTTTGTGTTTGTAACACCATTTTGTGTGGGTAGGATTTTCAAGAAGTTATCTTTAAGAAGAGGGAATATAGTGTCTGCAAAGTTGAATCACTATGTCAAATCTACAGCAATCCATCATTCTTATTTGAGAGTGTTGTAAAAGAGATGTTTCAATAGACTCTACATATTACATTAAATACTTTGAATCTATATAGGCTGAAAAAAGCAAACTAGCAAAAATAAAGAAAGAAATGCATTTCAAAAGTTTGAATTCTGAAAGTTCTTGAAAGAAGTCTCAAGTTATTTATTTATTTATTTTAAATACCGTTAAACAGTAATATATTTTTTTAATAAATAGAATTTAAAACAATTTTTAACTTTTTTTCTTTTTTAATATTTTAAAAATGCAATTTACTCCTGTGATGGCAAAGCAGAACTTTCCGCAGTCATTACTTCAGTCTTCAGTGTCACATGATCCTTCAGAAATCATTCTAACATGATGATTTGGGGCTCAAGAAACACTTTTTTTATCATCACAGTTTGGAAACAGTGTTAAGGATTTACTGTCACTTTTGAATTTCAACTTAATGCTTGTTTGCTGAAAAAAGTATTAATAATAATGTTATAATGTCTTCAAGAAATAGTACACAAAGACATCTGAAAGTCTTCAATAAAAAATATAATAATATTAATATTAAAGCATTCTAAAATGTCTGAAATGTTTGTGTTTTACTGCATTTCTGTGGGAAGAACCCAACCCCCTTTTCACTGCAGCCCAGCTTCCATCAGAAAACCCCATCTCCATTACTCTTCCCCAATGCGGTATAGTGAACATACACCCTGGCCCGCGAAGGTTAACCTTCAGTCATCAATCACAATTGTCGGAGCGTGAGGTGCTGCGGCACGGCTGTACCATGATATATTACACATAGAAGTGGAGGCATCTTAAGGTGGCTAAGAGCCTGGGCTCTAATTTACAAGCCAGGCCTAATGCACATTATTGTGAAATTAACAGTGTAGTGCATACATGCACTTATGTCCCGGGATGCTCTCGACGAACTAATGCACCTCTCGCATGTCAAGCCCATAATGGCATTCTCAATGTTATGGATAGAGATGATATCAGCACAGCACATTATCCTTCATGTATGGGGTTTCAACTGTGTACTCTGGGATTCCACTGAGAAAAAAAAGGAATGTAGAGAATAGAATAGAATAGAATTTTTTTAGATAGAATAGAAGAATAGAATAGAAAAGTCTGTGGACCAAGTCACATGTTCATATCAAATGCTCATGTTCTCTCAGTTTTTAACGGCTTGGCTCCTGGACTACTGGAGGTTTGCAGGTCAGGCACTTTATCCAACTCATCTCGCTTTTCCTGACTCTTGCACTGACTGGAGAGGACAGAGATGAATTTTTAAATATGTTGTCAAAGATCTCAGTGCAGACATCCATATTATGTATGAAATGATCTCTCTGGAAGTTGAAGTTTAGGGGACTCCCATGAGTATGAGATAACATAACATATGTGACCCTGGACCACAAAACCAGTCATAGGAGTTGAGATTTATGCATCACCTGAAAGCTTTCCATTGATGAATGGTTTGTTAGGATAGGACAATATTTGACCGAGATACAACTATTTGAAAATCTGGAATCTGAGGGTGCAAAAAAATCTAAATATTGAGAAAATCGCCTTTAAAGTTGTCCAAATGAAGTTCTTAGCAATGTTTTGATATATAAAAGGTAGGAAATTTACAAAATATCTTCATGGAACATGATCTTTACTTAATACCCTAATAATTTTTGACAAAAGAAAAATCAACGCTTTTGACCCATACAATGTATTTTTGGCTATTGCTACAAATATACCCCAGCGACTTAAGACTGGTTTTGTGGTCCAGGGTCACATATATACATAGTATATAGCAAAACAAAGCAAAGGCTACAAACCCCCAATGTTTTAGGATGACCTGCATCACTTTTGGACTTCATTGCTTTACTCTAGTGAGCTTAAAGGAATAGAATACCAACATTGGTCAAAATATTTTCATTTGTCTTTCACAGAAGAAAGAAAGTCATAGAGGTTTGGAAAGGAATGAGGGTGAATAAATGATAATAGAATTTAAATTTTTGGATGAACTATCCCTTCAACAGAAATAATATTACTGTGATAACATCTGCAACAATCAGCAGGGTACATCAAATAAAGAGCTTCAGGCAGCTGCCCTTTTCCATAAATTATTTAGGAATCATTTTAGAGGAGTTCTTATGCTCAGGTTTAGTATTATCTTGAAATATTACCAGAGCATTATCAGAGTATCTCCCTTCTGAATTTCATTGTAAAGCATCTTTAGGTGTTAGATCGTCTGATTCAATGGGTTAGATAAAGTGCCTAAACAAACTGGATATCAGATGCATATCTGAAAAAGTATATGGACAATTTTTCTTTACAATCTAGATACAGCACAAATTATTTGGGTGCATAAGATGCTACTTGATTAGTTTAATTAAAAAAAAAAAAAAGTTAAAAATATGTGGGATAAGCAATATCAGCAGGTGAAATTCATTCAAATTGCAATACTTAGCATTTACTTATTATCTTTACTCAATAAATAAATAAAAAATAGAAGCCAGAAGCAATGTTAGACATCAGTAAAAAGATCAGGTAACGCTTGGGGTGAAGACACCATTAGAAGAGAACAATAAATCCCTCTTACGGCTCTTGCTGTGTTTTGTTCTCTCTGGCTAAATACTCTGTAATTAATCCTCACTTCCCTTCAGTTCACAATCAACCTGCAGGCTTTGCTTTGGCCTAACAATCACAATAAATTAAAGTGCTCTCTGCTCCCGCAGGTAAAGGCCACTCAATAAAAGTGGCCCAGAAATCTGTTATGCAATCTATTCTGAGAAATCCGGAGGAATGAGAGTGGCACCCACAAAGTTTTATTTGTTTGTATGCTGTTCTAAATGAGTGTGTGACTACAGGTTGTTTGTAGAACTACTCCATTTATATTCCTCTTGTACAGAGTACATCCTGATTAATGAATAAAGTTGCATATTAATGTCGTCCATTCGACGTCTGAGTTCACTTATAGGAAACCCAGGATTTCCTGAGCATGAAAATCTTGAGCATGATGAGCTCTGGCATCTTTTTCTTCCATTTGCAAAACGTTAATATTGCAGCTGCTACACGTACTTCAAAAGCAGTCTGAAGTCTTAATTGAATTCTGTTTATTGCAAATATGAGCTTACTTGGATTAAGATAATAGAAAAATACTGCTCACAAGGCAAATTCCTAACTGCAGTGTCTTAATGGGGCCAGCAGATGGATTACGGCAGTATATAAACAAAGTCAGTGTCAGCATTACATGACTGAAAGTCTGAGATTTAGAGTGGGAAGCTTTAGTCGATTACTCATATTAAAGTTCCTCATTCCGCATTGATATTTCATATATTGTAATAGAAAAATGATTAAATGTTTACATAAAATTAGCAATATAGTATGTACACGTCACAGTCAGACAGCTTTGGCAGCTGTGAACCTTTTTATTAAAAACGTATCTGTTATTTCATACCTTTTAAAAAAATAACTGCATCCCTTGCAATTATTTAATGTTCTACTAGGGGTCCACAGACCCCCTTTTGAAAAACTCTGCCATAGTACCCCTCACTTGTCATCAAAGTCAAATACCTCAAGAGCAAGCACAACATTACAGTTTATGATTGCTTATTGATCTTGTTCATTCTAACAGCAGGATGATTAACTGGGAGGTCAGCAGCTGTACTTCAGTTAATGTGAAGTTAAGAGGGATTTCATTTATCCACTTCTATGATTGTCAAAACAAACCATGTAATATGCTTTGTAGTCAATTTGGTCTAAACACACTGAAGCAATCATCACGAACAGACAATGACGCAAATAATCACAAACAAACCTGTCAAGTCAAAAACTTAATTAGCACATCTACCTGTCAACATCACTACACATTCATGCGTTCAGTCTTTCAACAGCACTGTAATCACTTAATTGATTTACAAATTCCTTTTGCTTATTTTATTTACAATTCCTCCCTACCTTCCTGCACAGAATAGGCAGCACAAACCCATTTATAAAGCCAACAGACCATGTAAGGACTTTCCTCGAGCTGAAATGCTTTTAAATTCAAAGCGTGTGACGGTAACTAGCTGCACAGATGATCAAGGCAGCTTGGTTTGGGTTTTCACAAGGAATTTGTTACCTTCATTTGTTTAGACCTGATTTCTCAGATATAAGAACAGTCAGGTCATTAATGCTTTGTTAAAAGTGCTCAAACCTCAAAGTTGTGCATCCTAGCATAACCAGATGTCTTTAGCAGTGGCTAAACAGCTGGACGTGACATAAGAGAAGTACAAACAGACAAAGAGAGACAAACATGACCAATGAAGAGAGCAGTTGCCACTTCACATTTTCCTCCTGGAAGAGCTGCAAGCTTTAATTGATTTTCCATCAGGGAAATGGACTGTGGATTCCGGCTCCAACACTTCCTTTTCTTCACAAGCATTTCCTATTATAAAAAAATCTGCCCTTCAAACCAGGTGTTCTCCTCTAACTTGAAGCGCGAGGACCTGTGAACTAAGAAGGGTTTACCACCAGCAGCGGCTCCTACCTCATCTTGGTTGCTTAGGATCCAGTCACACACGGTCTTCAGGGCGATTTCTGCTGCCGGCTCATTGGGAAAACCTGTGGAGAGGAAGGAGAAGGATTCAGCTTTGAATTGGAGCCATATACTAGCATATGTACTCCCACTTTAACACTTATGCAAACATCTCCATATGGCTGTTTGCTGCTCAACACTCTCCACACTTTTAGCAGTTACTACAAACAACAGTCTGTTGAATATGCACACAAATCCAACACTGAACAATCTCACTACTTATTCATCCAAAAAAACACCTACTTTTTTATTAAACCAGCATCTCTGCTGTTACACAATTCACATGACTGTTTGTACATACCCGTCTTGCATCCCAAAATGTGGTCTATTAGCTATTTTATTTATCACGGGTGCTTGCCAATTCCTTGTAGATTTACTAATCCATTAAGTTGCTTCGACATGATCATTTACACTGTTCTGCCATCTGTGGCAGGTGCCGGGGTCATCACACCACAATCTTGATGAGAAAGTAATGACACATTGACCAGTAAATGTAAGAGATGATGCCACTAACTGCCATATTAATCACCAGAGCCTGAGCCGAGATGGGAAAGCAGTCTTGGTGTTAACACAGCGTATCGATTGAGAATAAATAGACTGGAGGAGATTAATATTTAATATTGCTGAAGGAGAGGAGGAGGAGTCCTCAAACTAGTGCCTTTTACATTTTAAAAAGGTAATTAAGTACATTTAAAACTTCGAACAGAAAAGTGTGTTTAGGTATTAAGTAACTGTATTGTGTGAGATGAGTTCACTTAATTTGAGTTCTCAGTTTTTTTATTTATTTTTTTAAGTCTGATGGAAAATATAATTCTTAAAATAATTCCAATATTCCATAAGATCTTAAACATAATTTCAATATTCTATAAAATCTTAAAAAATATTTTTAATTAATAATTCATGCAAAAAATAAATAAATATAAAATTAAAAAGATTTTTTATTAAAAATAAAAAATCCAGAAATAATCCAGTCAAGATGCTATAATATACAAGTTATGTTACTGTATATATAAAAATATATGTAATAAAAAATATTAACATTTATACTACCGTTTACCGTAAGATTGTTTTATTTTGTTATTTTTTAATGAATTAATATTTATTCAGTACTGATGCATTAAACTGTTTATAAGTTACAATAAAAAATGTTGCAAGGTCACAAAAAAATCTAATAAATGCTGTTCTTTTGAACTTTTTATTCATTAAAGAAAACTGAAAAAATTGTATCATAGTTTCCGGGGGAAAAAAAAAAAAATATATATATATATATATATATATATCTATATATATATATATATTAAGCAGCACAACTGTTTTCAACATTGATAATTAGCGTATTAGAATGATTTCTGAAAGATCATGTGACACTGTAGACTGCAGAGTAATAGCTGCTGAAAATTCAGTTCTGTCATCATTTTAAAATATATTTTAAATAATAATAATAATAATATTATTATCATGATAATACTATTTCACAATATTACTGTTTTACTGTGCTGTTTATCAAATAAATGCATCGTTGTTGAGAAGAAGAAAATACTTTCAAAAACATTGTAAAAAATCTTACTCACCCCAAACTTTTGAATTGCGTGTATATATCTTTTTTATTAGTAATTTGGCCCATTTATGCATAAAAAATTAACCCTTCAGGATGCTGTAATATAAAAAATTAAACTGGGACCCAATAAGCACCCATTTTGTACAAATGGCCCATCTGTTGCTCAGCGAGTGGCGGCACTGACCCTGAAGGTCCATCTCAGCTCTCAGACGCCAGGGTGATAGGAGACGTAATTAACACACGGAGATGTTTTCACTCTCTGTTTCACCTCTCTATCTGCTCAGCAGCCTGACACTGCACTCTCCCTGTCTCCTGACGTTCTGTCTGGGCCTTTCAACACCAAATAATTCGGGGATCCATTGGATGTGAGGGAGTCTCACACCAGCCCTATCCTGTCAGTCTCCACTCCATCCATTCCCTGCTGTTTTCTAGCTCTCTCTCCTCCTGACAGGCACAATCACTGACTGATTTCTTCTGCTGGCTGGATGCCGTCAGACCTGAACTTTGGGTCAAGACTGTGCGTGAGAAACCGATAAACCTATTATCTCTCTTGAGAATAATCCACATTCAGAATAATATGAACACAAGCACATTTTGGCTCCTTTTCACACTAAACAAAATACAGAGAATGAGATGATATTACTATTTACAAACAAATGCTCAACAGCGATGCTTCGTGGCTCTTCAGGTAACCCATTAAATAGCAGTTTTAGATTAGTGTTTTATTCATATTGATTTGAAAATGACCAGAGCTGTCTGTGGGGTTGAAATACTCAGTTTTCAAAAGATTACTGGAGATTTGGGATTTTTTTAGACTTCCACCAGGATCAGTGTCTCTGGACAAATGCAGGATTTGATTGGTGGAGTATTTATATTAAAATAGGACATATATTAAAATAGAAGTTGTTTTAAATTGTACTATTATCTCACAAAATCAATGTTTTTACCATTTTATTTTTTCAGATCAGTAAATCTTAATTACTCCTATATTCCTATCATATATTTAAACTCACACACATAATTACATAAATGACATGAGTAAAGCTTGCTGACCCATGTCAAAGATAATAGAGCAAAACATTAAAGCTTTAGGCTAAACAAATGAGAATAAAAAGTGTTACTCTCCCCTATTTAAAGTGTTATGAACTTTAACGGTTTACTGAATAAATACTCACAGACTTGTTACTCACACGTCCTTATGAGAGAACGCTGATGCATATCACAATGTCTTAAGGGCAGAAAACATGGCAGAGGGCACTAGACTCATGTTCATATCACATCTTCAGTGCATTTCTGTTTTTAATGTAAATTGACTTGTGCTTCACGGACATTAATTATACAGAAAGATAAAAAAAAGAGAATCAATGAGAGCCGTGTTATGTCTGTCTGTAGAGATATAGAGGTCAGAGCTAATCGAGTTAACAGTCAAAGCTCACTGAGAGGTTCCTCTGATCAAATGTCTCGCATTTTCCATACATGTCTGAGAGATGCCCTCTCCACACAAACATCTCAGTCGGACTCATCTCAAACTACAAGGAAATCCTCCATGGGAAGGATTTTTTCTTTTTAGTGGATACACATCAAATCTTTGGATTCAGGAGTTTTTGTGGGATGAAAATGCAACTATGCATGCTACAGTGGATACACAGAAAAGCAAAACTTTTGAGAGATATAAAAAATGCAGTCAAGTATAAGCTTTATGCATAGCAATCACGAAAAATGCACAAAAGCGCTGTGAGATTTAAAACATCTCAGCATGTTTAATCAAATAATCATAAAGGAAACCTTACTTCACTTTATATTAAAAAGCACAGTATAAAAATGTTCTTTTCTCAAACAGTGAGAGGAGGAAAAAAAGTGCTATTCATTTCTTTATTTTGTAAAAAAACTAATTTTAAGGAAAAACAAATGACTGAGTCTGTCTTTGAGCCACCAAATGTAAATAATAAACAATACAAATAAAATCTGTTTTGTTTTGTTTGTTGGTCAAGGCTAATCATGAGTATGATGCTACATATACATACACAAGGAAAAACAACTAAATAATTCAGTTGATATAGGGACAAAAATATATTTTGGCATAAAAATAATGCAAAATACAGTTTCACGGTCACAATGAAATATTTCTCAAAAAGATTTGTTGTCAGCTGATGGATGCCCACCAGTGTATGGGCTGCTGATGAGGGCTCCTGGGATTTCCTTTACTTTACAAGAGAGGGAGAGAGACTCTACAGTGCACTATATAGGGTGTCAGCATTTTGTAGTGCTGTTCAAATTCTTAGTGAACAATTTCATTCCATATATAGTTCACTGTTGTGTACCCATAATGCAATCTGATTTATAGTGCACACCTGAGTTTAACTGGTTACCCATAAAGCAATGCGAAGAGGTCTGCCAAATACTAAAGGAAAAGTCAGGTTGCAACTTTAGTTTATGTTGCATCAACTAATAATATAATAATAATAAAAAAAATTATAAATTTTTGAAATTATGAAATTATAGTTTAGTGGATGAGACGTATTGTCTGTTATTGTCTGAAGGTGCCATATTCATCGATATCTAGTCAAATAATTTAATTCCCAACTCTATTACTGCTTTATGGAAGAATATTATGTGCTTCATTAAAAGAAGATCTGATATTCCTCCATAAAAGCTATAATCAACTAATTAAAGTCATAAAATTGTTACTGAATGAAAACATCATAAAACACATTTTAATGATTGCCATTGTGTTTAAAAAAATGGATCTGAGCCAATCTAAAATGATTAACTTTATAGGTAAGAATGCATCTACAAACATACAGTATAGCTAGCTGTTTTCCAACGTCAAGTTACATTTATACAAACTGTGTTTGAATGGACACTGGTAGAAGCTACTAAATAATTAACATGGAGAACTTTTGCCCCAAGAATAAACCAAAAACAGCTGAGCCAGAACTGCAGGACCTGGAAGGACCGAAGAAAGTGATGAAGGTGACGTCCAACCAAATCATTAGGACATGTTTCCAAACGGACCCGTGGGTACAAACGTAAGAAGCTGAACGTGTCAGCTAGTGGATGAAGGTTCAGAGAGACATGTGCTTCTTAGTGAATGGTCTATACAGTACTGCAGAAGACTAGCAGCAGATTTTTAATTATAATGCTGGTGTAAACGGGGGTTTAATCTTATGGAGATGTGACCCAAATCCAAAAATGGATAGACACACATATAGATGGCCAAACCAGGCCTGTCAGTGTGTGACCTCGAAAAGCCATGTATTGGTGGTGACATTTTTGTCCTACATGCTAAAATTACCCCCTAACATTTACTTTTCACTAAACCATGTCACACACACACACACACACACACACACACACACATACACCGCAGCAGCATTTCCTATGGTCATTCTGTTGTTTTCCAATGTGAAATCAACCCTCCCACTGCATCTGGGCCTAACAACATGAGTAAGTACAAAGTAATTCATA